CTGATCTTTATCTAAGCAGTTCCATAGCTCTGAAAAGTGAGGTTTTAGTTCCTGCTGGAACCGTGGATTTATCTGTTCCTGCAGGTGGATTCTGGATTCACCTCCTGGTCCATCCCCTAATGGACAAAATTTAATAATTTTGCTGCTGAAGCCTGTGACCGTGATCTTAATGGGAAGGTTCTTCCCTCTGGGAAATGTTGCTGTGGTCCTGCTGATCCCTATTTTTGCTGATTTCTCTCCTTGTTTGGCTCGGGGAGAAGTTTGTTCTCAGCTGGTCTTTAGCTAAGCACTGTTCCAAGAAGATGAAAATGCTCCATGGCCTGGAGGCAGCAGTTTGTAAACACTGTGAGCCACAAGCTGAGATTGTGTAAAGCTGATATTCTACTGGTGGCACTTTCTGTCAATGAGCTCTGGTTTGCTTGGGGTTTTTTAAATTAAAATAAAGCAAAATGAGCCTGACATGAGAATGAGAGTTCTGAGCTGTGAGGACAGGGTGTGGCTGGATTAATGTTTCATTCCTTTCTGCTTGAATTCCTCTTCTCCTGAGGGAGACTGCTCTTGCAGGAGAAGCACAAAATTTTTCCTCTCTCAGGTATTTTGTACAAAAAAACAGGCAGCAAAAAATGCCCTTGTGGGGAAGAACTGGGTTGTCCCATTTCCACAGGAAGGTTGTCACTTTCCAGTGGAAAGTGAGAGTTTATTTTCCTAAATAAATTCCTAAATAAATTTTTGAGTTTATTTTCCTAAATAATTATCCCTAGGGATCCCTTCCTGACTGCCTGAAAGCCACCACCTCCCACACCCACAGGGAATCCTGCTGGAAACGAGGGAATTCTGTCCAGTCCCCAAGAGATCTTGAACCATCAAGGAATGGAAACTTCTGGGTGAGAATGGGAACCAAATCCTGAGTAACCTGGCTACAGCTTCTGGAATTAGTGCTGGGCTCTGGCCTTCAGTGCTGGATCCATTATTCCTGTGGAATTAAGGCCTGGTACTTCCCACCCTCTGCCACTCTTGAGATGCTCTGTGGAGCTTGGAAATCTTTCTTATCCAAGCTTTGTGAAGTGTTGTTCCAACCCCTCTGGCTCCCAGCTTGGTGTTTGTTTCAAGACATTCCCACACTTGATTTTTCTACCAAGTTTGTTCTTTTATTGCTACTGTACAATTACAAAAATACCCTGAAGTGGAAAAAAAGCAACTTCAAACAGCAGTGCAGTGCTTGGACTGGAACAGACATTTTTAAATTAACACACAAAATAAAGACAAGAATAATCCAAACGCAGAAATGTCATCTTGGAGCTCTTCATTCTTTACAATTTATTAACATCTTCTCCACCATGGCAGCTTGGGAGGGACGAGTACCAAAGTTTGAGCCTTGTGGATACACAGAGCCCTCCCAGAGGGGAGGTTTGGCTGGAAAACAGATCCCAGTGACCTCCAGAGGGGAGATTTAGCTGGAAAACACAGAATTCTGTGACCTCTGGAAAGACAGATCCCAGTGCTCTCCAAAGGGGAGGCTGGGCTGGCAAACACAGAGCCCTGCAAAGGGGAGGGCTGGTTCCCAAACACCTGCACAAATTCCAGTGATCTCCATTGGAAAACAGATCCCAGTGCCCTCCAGAGGGGAGAATGAGCTCCCAAAGCCTGCAGGGACCCCCAGCTCACAGGGGGCTGGCAGGATCTGGCACAGCTCAGGGCCACGACTGAGGTGCTGGGCTTTGCTCCCATCCTCACCTGAGGGTTAAGCCAAGCTCATTTACTCCTCCCCACCAAGCAAAGCCAAAAAAAAAGGCTCAACCCTCCCCTTGATAGCCCTTGAGGGAGATCCAGAGTCAATCCACAGCTCTTGGCAAAGAAAACCTGCTGGTCCCAGCTGCCAGATTTCAGGTTTCAGTCCATAGTGTGCGTGTTCTCTGCCCCTCCTCCAGCACAACCTCAGCTGAACCCCTAAATCCAGGAAAAACCCCCCCAAATCCAAGAAAAAACCCCCCAAATTCAGGAAAACCCCCCCCAAGCAGAGCATTGAGCCTGGAGAATGCAGGACAGCCACTGCTGGCACTGGAAATGGTTTCAGTTCTGGGGTGCAGGGGCAGATCTGCTGCAGGGAGATGTTGGGGTGATGGTTTTGGATGGCTCCCAGTAGGGAGGGCTGGCTCCTTCTGCAGCTCTGTCAGCTCTCCCTTCATTGGCCAGAGCAAATTTTTGGCATTTTGCATCCTTTTTGTTTGTTTTCTTGGTTTTCTGTAAATTAAAGCAGGTTAAACACCAAGCTACTGCTCGTGCAGCACAGCCAGGAACCAGGTCCCAGTCCAGCAGTGGATTTATCAATATTTATGTACTATGAGCATTTACCTGGGCCAGGAATTGTGCTCCAGACTCTGGAATGATGAGTTATGTAAATAATTTTGCATATCCACCTATTTTACCACTCATGCTTTGGCTGGTTTGGAGCCTCTCCTGAGGAAGTGGGAACACCCCCGAGCTTTGGGCAGCACTATGAATTCATGAGGTACAAAGTTGCCCTAAAAAAACTATTTAAGACAGTTGTTATTTCAAAACTTCACACTGAAAAAAAAAAAAAAAGCTTGTCTGATGAGGGATTTTTCTCCTCCAAGCTTACAAGGACAGAAAAGAGCTAAAAACAACCTACATATTTTATTCCTGGTCATTTAAAAGCAGGTTTTTAAAAGAGGATTTTTGCTGCTTTTCCCTCTGTGCTTTGGGATTTTTTTTTAATTTTTTTTTTTTTTTTGCACATCAAACAATCCAGAGCAGCAGAATTCCCCTTATTTCTATTTACAGGGCAGCCTGGAGCTGATGCAGGATTCCCAGATTTCTTCATAAGACCAGTAAGTGCCCACCAGTCCTGGCCCTGGTGTTTATATTCCATTTAACAAGGCCAGGGGCTGCTCTTCAGCTGAGCTGCAAGCCAGGAGCATGGATCCCAGTGCTGGGAATAGCAGATTCCAGCAATAAAATGGGAAGGGCAAGTCTAGAACAGTTACAGCAGCTTGGAAATCACAGCATTAAAAGTTGTAGTTGATGCTACAAAACAACTGGATTCAACAGTGCTGGAGGAAATGACAACACTGAGCACTAGCAAACACTTCCATGTGCTGATTCCAGCTGGATTCCAAAGGTATGGAGCAATAAATTAAGGTTTCAGCTCTCAATAGATACAAAATTATCTCCTGGATAAAGCAATTTAAATCAGGAGAAGGAATTTATAATATAAAGAAGTAAAGTGGGAGGAAAATTGTGTGACCAGGGAAATCTTTTGGATGGGGGGCAGTTTGGGGAGATGCCTTGACTTGGTGGGTCAGGAGAAATGGGATTCCATGGGTTCATCCCATGGGTGTGAGGCATTCCCAGGACACAGTGGGCATGCAGAGGGCTGGCCCAGTGGCAATGCAGCTGCTCAGGGAAGCTCAAGGCACTTTTGTGTCTTAAATCACTGCCAACAGCAGCTTCCCATCACCCCCTCCCAGGGCTCCCCACTGGGAATGGAGCCTTGGGATAAAATCCCTGCCTGACAGACAAAGGCTGCTCAACACTTGGGGCTGGAACAGCTCTGGGAATTTTGGTACAAAACACAATTCCCAGCCATTGCCACAGGGAAGGGAACCTGGAGGGGCTGGTGCATTGTGGAAAGGGATTGGGATGGGCAGGGGCTCCTCAACAGCAGCTTGACATCAACCCATTCCAGGGCTCCCCCTTGGGAAGTGAAATGTGTGGGATGGGATGGAGCATCTCCCTGGGAAAAGTGCGGTGTCAGGACATGGACCAGAGCCTTGGGACAGGCAGAAAACACTTCTCAAACACACACCTGGGGCTGCACGGGGCTGGAACAGCAGGGCCTGGGTACAAACCACAACTCCCAGCTGCTCCCACCGGGAAGGGAGCCTGGACAGGGGGAGGTTTGCATAAACAGAGAGGCTCCATCCGAGGGCTGGGACCTCCTGAGGGCTGGGGCCATCCCAGGGGCTGGGGCCATCCCAGGGGCTTGGAGCATCCCAGGGGCTTGGAGCATCCCAGGGGCTTGGATAATGCCAAGGACTGGGATGGTCTCAAGGGCTGGGACCATCCCAGGGGCTTGGATAATCCCAAAGGCTGGGATGGTCCTGAGGGCTGGGATGAACCCAAGGGCCATGACCATCCCAGGAGGGTCCCAATCCATCTCCACGATCACCCTTGGGGATGACCCCAAGGGCTGGGATGACCCCAAGGGCTGGAATGACCCTGAGGGCTGTGACCATCCCAAAGGTTAGGATGACCCCAAGGGCTGGGATGACCCTGAGGGCTGGGATGACCCCAAGGGCTGGGATGACCCCGAGGGCTGGGATGAC